ACTACCTATCAAGGGAAGAATACCGTTCTCTTAGTACCAAGAAATACCCAGCATTTTGTCACAATCGTGATACGATTTATAATATATTTGAGCGATATGAAAAGATGAAGGCGCGGAATTATGATTTTGATTCAGTGGATCGGTAATGACTGGGTAATTTTTTTTTATTTTTGGATAGAACTTGATTGATGTCAATTTCTTTATTGTAGAACTTTAGCTATATTACGTGCAACCGAAACGAAAGTGTTCGGTGGCCCGCACATTCATGAAGTATACATTGATGAATGTCAGGATAACCGGATCATAGATTACGAGCTTATCTTGAAACTCTTTGGCCACGCTGAAAGTATTTTTCTGGCAGGAGATGTAGCGCAATGCATTGCCCGAGGGTCTACTTTTCGATTCAAAGGTTTGCGTTTATTATTGTCCTTCAAGAATAAATAATTACGTCTTCTTTCCCAATCTTTAAAAAAATTTTTTTTATTAAAATAGACTTATATCAATTGATTTACGAGCGTGCCAATTATTTAAAACCAAAAATGTTCGAATTAAACATTAATTACCGCTCTCACAAAGGGATTCTTCAACTAGCTTCGTCAATAATTCATCTCCTCCGGGTATTCTTTCCTGATTCTATCGACCAGCTGTCACCTGAAATCAGTGAGGTTGGTGGTCCACAACCTATCATCATCGAGGGTTGTGAGGCTGAAACCCTGTTTATTTATAGAAAGGATGACAAAAAGGAAGATGTATTTATTGAATTTGGAGCTGACCAGGTCATTATCGTACGTGATGAAATTGCTAAAAAGCGTGTGAAAGATATATACAGTGATATTGGATTGGTTTTGACTGTCTTCGAGGCCAAAGGTATGGAATTCAATGATGTGCTATTGTATAATTTCTTTACCGATTCTCCCGCACATTTAAAGGTAAAATATTATGGCATTTGATTTAAACACATTATAGTCATTTATTAAAAGCTATTCTGATTTTTAACGTAATATTTAGTGGCAAGTAATTCTCTCCGATTTGGATGACAATTCAGAATGGATTCGGAAATTCTCTTCCGAGAAGCATTATATTCTTTCCTCGGAACTCAAACATCTCTATGTTGCCATAACCAGAGCCAGAGAGCATCTCTGGATTTTTGATGAGGATGCTAAGTTGAGTGAATCAATCCGTACGTACTGGGTACGCAAAAAGCTAGTGAAAGTAACGAATGGAATCGACGTCTCGAAATTGACTAAGACAAGTAGCTCGTATGAGTGGAATCGTGAGGGAAGGATGTTTTTTGAGCAACGGAATTATGAACAGGTAAACTCTTAAAAAACCTTTCAATGCAATGCAATAATTAGCTGAGTTACTAAATGAGACAGAATCACTTTTAGGCTATATTCTGTTTTAAAAAAAGTAGAAATAAGGAAGGCGAAAATTTAGCCCATGCGTATTATCTTCAACAAGTTGCCAGGACTTCCGTCGTAACCGGTTCTGATAAAAAAACAGTGAATAACAATTTTAAATCTGCCGCTCGAGCCTTTGAAGAATGTTCCCGGAAGCCACAGGCAGCTTCATGTTATGAGGTATAACTTTTGTTTTTCATAACTTTCATGAATGGTCCTATATTTTTTTGTCCATATAATTCATTTTGCATTTGAAGCTTTCATGGTAATATTTACAAATTTTATGAAACTTTCAGAGCATAAGAATGTATGAAAAAGCTGGTAATTTATATTTTGAATCAGAAATGTTTGAGGATGCCGCACGTTGCTATCTAGCGGTCAATATGTGGGACGTAGCAGGTGGGTATTTTGAAAAGGCGAATAAATACGATGAAGCAGCCATTGCCTACAAAGATGGCAATCATTACGATATGGTAGCTGATTTGATTCAAAGGTAAGCTTAATAAACTAAATAAATTCTGAAATTTACCGTAAAAAATCAGGTAATTCATAAAAACTAAAACCAAATTACTAAATAAGGCACAGACTAGACATCAACGATAAAACGATCTGTCAACTCACTAACCACTTTCACAAAGAAGCCGAAAATCATCTTTCGCAAAATAAGTTTGAAGAGACAGCCGATATGCTTCAATACATATTACGTCTATGCAGAATTATTGTGCTTGAAGAGATAATTGCAAATTTCACAAGCTCAAATATCCTGCAGGAATTATGTAAACTCCAAATCAAAGCGGCCAAGATTATTTCAAGAGTTCCATCTGATCGGTCGAAGAATCTGATGGAAGAGTCTCAATTATATATTTCTTATTTAAATAAGGATCTAAATATTTATGACATAATAACTGTTTTGATTCAGAGGTAAGCGTATATTTCCCGTAAAATTCAATTTGTTAAAAAAAAAAAAAAAGAATAATTCTTGTCTAACCTATTAAAAAAGGCACCGACCAGTTATCAACGACGAAACTATCCGTCAACTCAATAACCACTTTCGCAAAAAAGCTGAAAAGCTTCTTTCGCAAAATAAGTTCGAGGAGGCTGCCGACATGCTTAATCGTTCGGATGATAATGACGATAATATATTACTTGCGTCTCAGCATCTATTACGCCTTTGCAGAGACAATGTACTTAAAGAGATTATTGCAGGCTCTAGTACCCAGCAGGAATTAAGTAGACTTCAATTCAAAGCGGCCAAGGCTATCTTAAAAGTTAAAATTCAATCTGACCGATCGAATAATCTAATGGAAGAGTCTCAGTTATATATTTCTTATTTAAATAAGGATCTCAATATTTATGATATAGTAACTGATTTGATTCAGAGGTAAGTGTAAAAATCTTCAATTAGTAAAAAAAAAAAAAAAATAAAATAAAATAAATAAAGCATAACTCTTGCCTATAATTATTAAAAAGGCACAGACAAGACATCAATGATGAAACTATCCGTCAACTCAATAACCACTTTCGCAAAGAAGCAGAAAAGCTTCTTTTGCTTAATAAGTTCGAAGAAGCTGCAGACATGCTTAACCATTCTGTAGATAATGACGATAATGTAACTGATGCGTCTCAGTACCTATTGCGCCTATGCAGAGTTATTGTATTAGAAGACATAACTACAGATTTCACAAGTTCATGTACCCTGCAGGAATTATGTAGGCTCCAATCCAAAGCGGCCAAGGCTATCTCAAAAATTACAATTCAATCTAAACGATCGAAGAATCTGATGGAAGAGTCTCTGTTATATATTTTTTATTTAAATGAGGATCTCAATATATATGATCTGATGATTGATTTGATTCTGAGGTAAGCTGTAAATTTCTCGTAAAAATCTTCAGTCAATTCAATAAAAAAAAAAAAAAAAAAAAAAAAAAAAAAAAAATTGCATACGCTGACCAAACTATTGAATTAGACACCGACAAGTTATCAACGATGAAACGATTCGTCAACTTAGTATCCACATTCAAAAAGAAGCAGAAAAACTTCTTTCGCATAACAAGTTCGAAGAGGCTGCCGATATTCTTCAGTATCTATTACACCTATGCAGAATTATTGTACTGGAAGAGATAAATGCAGGTTTCATAGGCTCAAGTATCCTGCATGAATTATGTAAACTCCAAACTCAAACGTTTAAGACTTTCTCTAAAGATCAATCTAAACGTTCAAAGGTTCTGATGGAAGAATCACAGTTATATATTTCTTATTTAAATAATGATCTCAATATTTATGATATAATAACTGATTTGATTCAGAGGTAAGCTTAAAGCAACCTAATTTATCCTATGAATTTTCCGTAAAAATCTTCAGCCAATTGATACAAAATAAATCTAACTATTAAATAAGGTACAGACAAGACATCAATGATGAAGTGATCTGTCAACTCAGTACCCACTTTCACAATGAAGCAGAAAAACATCTTATGCACAATAAGTTCGAAGAGGCAGCCGATATGCTTCAGTATTTATTGCGCCTATGTAGAGTTATTATCATGGAAGAGATAATTACAGGTTTCGCAAGCTCAAGTATTCTGCATGAATTTTATATGCTTCAAAACGAGGCATTAAAGACTATCTCAAAAGTTCAATCTGAACGATCGAAAAGTCTGATGGAAGAATCGCGGTTATATATTTCTTATTTTAATAAGGATCTCAATATTTATGATATGGTAACTGAATTGATTCAGAGGTAAGTTGTAATTTCCCAGTCAATTCATAAAAATAAGGAAAGCGTAACTCATTCTAAACAAACTATTAATAAGGCACAGACTAGACATCAACGATAAAACGACCTTTCAACTCAGTATCCACTTTCACAACAAAGCCGAAAACCTTCTTTCATATAATAAGTTCGAAGAGGCAGCCGATGTGCTTCAGCACCTATTACGCCTATGCAGAATTATTTTACTGGAAGAGATAATTACAGATTTCACTAGCCCAAGTATCCTGCAGGAATTATGTAAGCTCCAAATCGAAACGGCAAAGACTATTTCAAGAGTTCAATCTAAACGTTCAAAGAATCTGATGGAAGAGTCTCTGTTATATATTTCTTATTTAAATAAGGATCTCAATATTTATGATATGGTAACTTATTTGATTCATAGGTAAGTGTAAATTCCCGTAAAATCCTCAATTAGTAAAAAAAAAAAATAGCATAACTCTTGCCTAAACTATTAAAAAGACACAGACAAGACATCAACGATGAAACTATCCGTCAACTCAATAACCACTTTCGCAAAGAAGCTGAAAAGCTTCTTTCGCAAAATAAGTTCGAGGAGGCTGCCGACATGCTTAACCGTTCGGTTGATAATGACGAAAATATAATTAATGCGTCTCAGTACCTATTAAGCCTTTGCAGAATTAATGTGCTGAAAGAGTTGATTACAGATTTCACAAGCTCAAGTGCCCGGCAGGAATTAAGTAGGTTCCAATCCAAAGCGGCAGAGACTATCTCAAAAGTTCAATCTTCGCGATCAAAGATTCTGATGGAAGAGTCTCTGTTATATATTTCTTATTTAAATAAGGATCTAAATCAAGTTCACGAGTGCAGAAAATTTTTCATGAAGCATGAAGAGTTTTTCACTGAGTTTCTTGCGGTTATATTGTGGCTGCAAATCCTCTCACCATCTGAATTTAATATCAAGTATTGGGATGAGCGGTTACAGTGTTTGTTAAGACTGTGTAAATTGGCCTTTCCTTATATATCCCCACAAAAAAATGACGACATTGCAAAAATCTCGAAAGGATTCGAGAATATTTTTTTATGTTTTGGGAACAAAACAAAAATCCCTCAGAAGTTGAATATTTTTTCTTACGACCCTCTTTATGTCCTTTTGGACATCAAGCTTATAAATAAAGAAAATGAAGAAGCAATTCTAGACAGTTGGAATGTTTTTGACGTGGATGTTGTGCATCAGACAATTTCACAGTTCCTCATCTCATATATCTACAAGCTTATTTCGAAAATCGATCAGGATGGTAGAGCTAATCCGAATATAGCTTCATTAATCTGCTTTAATTATGCTTCATCGAGTATTTCAAATTACCGAATGCATTACGTAACTTCGACATCATTACTTCTGTTCCAGCGTCTGAAACTTGCAAGACTTCAATACACTGTGATGCGACAGTTGAATGTATTATTTCGTCATGGACTTCTTAATGTAGAAAGAAAAGCATTCCTTGCTTCACAAAAATGGTGGGCTGAAAATCTGGTTAAATGTCATATGCGCTATCAATCACCGCATACAAGATGCCCAGAAGTTACTTCCATGGCTCTTGCCAAACTTCCTATTCGCATTCGTGATGACCTTATAAATGAAGCTTACAAGACATGGTTAGCTAAGAAGTCCAAGAATGAGGTTATGGTCAAATGTATGTTTGTTATACGGCGGCTGCGGGAAATAAGCTTTATTGACGAGTTTTATCAGGAGATATCGAAATCGAAAATATTTTCACACCCTAACAACCTTCCCGGAAATTATAAAGTGGTTCCAGTTGGAAGACATATCGCGCAATTTTTCTTATTTCTTTATTATACTAATAAAGTGATTCCCGCAATCATAAGATCAAGAGCTTTTATTAATTATGCCATAAAAAATATTAACAAGTCAATCTGGCTTCATCCAATGCTTTTGGAGATCTTACTTCTCTCATGGGATTTGAAACCTCTTTGATTTTCACAGTTGGTCAAGTGTATTGCGCATTTACCGCGTATCCTTCATTCTTGATCGATATACTACAGCATAAAGAACTTCATTAATTCCATCGATCAATTTTACCACTGTTACTTTGGAAGGAACAGGTTTACAAATATCCTTCGACTTATAAATAAATCTAGTTTTCTTTAACCTTTAAATACGCTTATAGCAAAAATAATTCTTTTCTCTAGATGAAAACGACTTTGTAAGTCTTGTAGTTCACCACAAAAGTATATACATATCAAAATTCCTTATTTCGTAAATATCCTTACAGACAAACTCTATTGAAGAAATCTAGAACAACATCTTGGTCATTTTTTTTATTTGATTTTAATCAATATTTTATGTAACAAAAAAGACGAATTGTCCTATGATTTTATTATTAAATTATTTATTTATGGAAGAAATCTATTTTTATATTCAAATAGACCAATCATCAGTTATGAATGTATTGAAAAGACAAAAATAAATTATTATTTGATCAAAAAGAATAAGATATTTTGTTCAATGAAAAATTTATGATTAGTTTTAAGCTTTAAGCATAAAAACTTCGTTTTTTTTTGATTAGAATTGACCAAAATAAATATTCGTTCGTGTTAATCGATAATATGAATTTGGGGATGTCATACGAAATTAATATAACAACGACACGACTAATTTATTAAAGTTAATATTTGTTGATCAAGATTAAACCGAATGATGTAGAAATATTACTAGTCTATCTTCATGAATGTAGAAAAAAAAAGATCATATGGGAGGTTTGCTATTAGAATCACGTTACGGATCATGGTTCGTAACTCGATTTTAATAGCAAACTCCCATATATGTACCTGTACTGACATCTTATAAAGAACAATAAAGTTTTCTAAATAACGTACGATACCAAATCTATCGGGTTGAATTACAAAACAACTTACTTCTCGATTATTTTTCTCATTGTCAAAAGTTCAATAATTTCCTTAACTAGTTAATTAGCTGATAAAAATTTTCTCGGGCACTAATTTTAACCTGTTTCATAAATTCTTTTTTTTTACTTTTGCATTCATACTTTCATACAAATGAGCGTATTCACAGAATGTTTCTTTAATTCATTAACAACAATATTACTAAATATAAAAATATTAATACTGTCGAGTATGAATGTCTAAAGCAGAAATAATTTACAGCATTTAGTTATCGTTTTCTTCCCTTTTGGATACGCGAATGAGCAAGAAAGAAAAGTTAGCTTTGTAATGTTATTGATAACTAGTCTTCCAAATGCTAGCTTATCTACAGAAATTTGTCATGATTAATAGAATTCAACAATTGTAAGCATAGTTGTTTTTGTTTTTTTCGCAAAAAAAGATCAACATACTTTATTGCACGCAAAGTATTCCAAGCTCTCCGTATATTAATAACAATGAGTTATAGAGTGATCTTTTTTTCAAGTTTACCATTTCAAATAATAATTGCACGATGGAGGGAGTTATCGAATGTTTCATTGCCATTGCCTTCCCTGGGTAATACACATAGTATGTTTCTTTTTTTTAATGTATATACTTTAAAACTATACAATGAATGATTTCTAGTATTACAAGTATTATCCATGTCATACATTCAACATAAACCTATTACAGAGCGGTTTTCTTTGTATTTTTATTAACAAAATCTTGCCTCTTCTCGTTAAATTTGTTCAAATCGTAATCGTTTAAATAAACTACTCTACATAATTAGGAGGTAACAACAGCAACTGATGGCTAATTTTACTTAGACTATTGGAAGGTACATATCCTGCTTCCTCCTTCAGAATAAGTAGGCCTAAACAGTCATAATCTAAGCAGGTAATAGAAAGATAAAGAAATAAAATACAAAATTTTCGTATAAATTAGAAAAAGTCTAGAAAAAAGGGGAAAAAAATTCCAAAAGAAAATTAGTCATTCATTTTTTCACAAAATTTGACTTGAAAAAAAGTTCACTTTATATATTAGTGGAATTATTGTCGCACAATGATCTTCAAATTTGTTTACATGGACACGTGATTTTCTGAATAAAAATGTACGTGTAAACAGTTCTGGTTTATTTATTTCTCTCTCTCTTGAGTTTTGACAAAATCAGTCTTCGCATTTATTACAATAATTTTATTTTACATGATATCGTTTCGAGGTTTTTACACTTATGTTCGTAAAGAAAACGTTGATTGCAAATTATCCAAATCAACCTGTCAACCAACGCGTCTTTTCGTGTTTGTTTATTAAAAAGTCCCTACCATCATAAATATCACTCAACTCGAAGGTTATTTGTTTCCGTTTCAAGGGTAAAGTAAAGCTCAAAGATCACCTTTATTGTGAACGAGAGTGGTTTTAATATTAGTTGGTATCATGAACCTTTGAATGACAAGCAACTTGAAGTATCGAGTTATTATTTTAGGTAGGTGTCATTTGAATTTGTCACTTGTCTGTTATTAACTTTATGGGGTCTAGGGTGCATAGTAAAAGCACTGTCATGTCCTAAGTCTTGGTGGTGTCTCTTGGTGGGATTATCCTCTTGAGACTATGTATTCCTATGTTCCCAATTTCTCTGAAGCACGAGAGTAAGCCTTAGCAGGATAATACTATTCCTATGGCATCTGTTTGGGATGTCAGACTCTCTTTTGATTGAATCTGGTCTGACCCTCCACCACCTTCTCTTTTTTTTATCACTTAAAACATTGTGTTAGTTTCGTCCATTAGAAATTATAAATTCAGCGGATATTTATAAGTTCTTTGATGACAAAATTGAAGTATCGGCTATTATTTTAGGTAGGTGTCATTTGAATTTGTCACTTGTCTGTTATTAACTTTGTGGGGTCTAGGGGTGCATAGTAAAAGCACTGTCATGTCCTAAGACTTGGTGGTGTCTCTTGGTGGGATTATCCTCTTGAGACTGTGTATTCCTATGTGCCCAATTTCTCTGAAGCACGAGAGTAAGCCTTAGCAGGATAATACTATTCCTATGGCATCTGTTTGGGATGTCAGACTCTCTTTTGATTGAATCTGGTCTGACCCTCCACCACCTTCTCTATTTTTTATTACTTAGAACATTGTGTTGTTTCGTCCAATAGAACCATAATTTCAGCGGTGTTACTTAGTTCGATATTTTATTAATTCAGTAATTATGAAATTATTTTCATCCACTTCAGGAGAATAACTAAAAAATCCCCTGGTCTTAGTTTATTAATAATTCCCAAAGCTATAAAGGTCATTATAAAACTATGCGTCACGTAAATTAAGATCTCGTGCAAAATTGTTATTAAATGAATAAAAATTTAGCAAAATTTTAAAAGATGAAACTTACAAATTATGAAATCACTTTTGTTCCGGCCTTGATCAGTTACATTAATATTCTTTGACATTTATAATATTTGTGGTCAAATAACAAATAACGATAAACAAGTTGCTTATCCAAATATATTAGTTGTATAACTGATAATAATAGTTACAAATAATAATTATGAAGCCAGGATCGCAAATTTTTTCCACACTATTTTTTTTAAAAAAAAAATTAATAAATTCAATGATGATAATGTTGGTTACATACTACATACAGGTCATGTGATCAACTTTAGTTAATTGTCATGTAACAATTTTTTTTTTGATTTTTTGACTAATACAGTATAAACTATTGATTATTGTTCACGTTTATTAGCGTTAAATGACAAGGATCGCAAGAAATCACGTAATGTGTGTGTTTATCATTGTTAATGAATTATATAAATACCATAACTTCTTTTTATCTTACAATTTCAAATTATAGTTATACCCAAATTTATCATAGACAACCATAACGACGATTCCTTTGACAATTTTGAAAGATGTGTTAATAAACTGGAAACCTCTAATAAGGAGGCTTGCACCAGGAAAATGATGGAATTGCAATCAAAGAACTATTCGAGAATATGATGAACCATGCTTGGGAATTTTTTAAAATTTATAATGAATGGAAATTTATTGACGTCCTCTCAACAAATTGAAGGACATCTATTTGATAATGATTTGATGAGTTGTGTTCATTATGAATAATATTTTTAATAAGATAACGTTACGATTAGAAGCAAAGATAGAAAATTCAAGAGCAGAGATTAAAAACAAAAAGGCAGAGATCGAAAATCAAGGCTCAGAGAAAAAAAAATAAGCATTATATTCAAGAAGCAAGAACATTTCTGAATGAAATTATCTTCCCTAAAATCTTAAAATTACAAAAAAAAAAAAAAAAAAAAACTTTTAAAAGCTTTTAGAAGATTCAGAAATGATAGAGACCGACCGATTTGAATTGACCGATCGTTTAGTATTATCTAAAAAATATGTATTTAACTTTATATATTTTATTATTTCAAGATAAAGAATGAGAAATAACTCTTAGTATTAAATTTCATCCAACAATAATATTTTTGACCCTGGCAAAATCATTTGCTTGCATGAAAGATTTTATTTAGCCAAATATTCCAAATATTGTAGTTTTTAACAATTTTAATATAACATTTGTTAAAACTGCTTTATAAAAAATAATTATTTCCTTCAAGTCAATATGTATATTTGATGGCGCAGAATTATCGCGGTCCTTTATTATTTTCCAAAAATTTCAAAATATTAATTTATAATTAAAAATAAAAATAGTTAGTTATGTTAATTTAAATATAAAGTGTACTACAACTTTATTAAAAAAATGGTTGTTCAGCCAGTCAAAATCTCAAACCAGTCAACCGTTCAGTAAACCTTTGGCCGACCGATATCGGTCACCTGACCGTTTTTGAATATATTAAAAACGAGTTGAGTCAGAAGAAAAGATGGTATGATCCATTGGTAATAAATGAAATTGTTAAATACCAGCTCTATTTCGATTAAAATTTTCCATTGTAACAAGTTTATTGGTAACATTAATCGCGACGTGGATCGATAAGTCCAACGCCACAACTTTCTATGATGAATATATAACATATTATATACTCAATAAATGGAATG